AGTTGTTAACGGTCAAACGTTCACATTTTTTTGGGACACCCTGTATATTTGCTCTGAAAGCAAGAAAATTAATAATAATTGAACAGTCTCATGTCTTTTCGGACACTGTATATTCCTCCTAATTCCGAGTTGTATATTTGAGGTAATAGTCAAAAAATGAGGGTTTTTCAAGTTCAGTTACACATTTTCGAGTAGAAAAAGAACTATTAATTGTTTCAGAACTCGTCGTGGATTATTTCAACAAACAGTCTCCTTTTGACTATATGAAACCGGAAACGTCAGCGAGCATAGGATCACGAGGATATGCCGATCCGTGTACGCTCGTCGTAGCCATGGTCTATCTTGATCGGCTGAGGGTTAATGACAAGGTTTGTCGTTAAAAACTTTCAGGGCATTTTCTAAAGCTTTTCTTGTTTGGTTAAGAAGTTTTTTCTAGAAGGCATCACCGCAATTTTCTCATTTTAGGCATGGTTTGAGTCTTCCGACCCCACTGATCTCTATCTACCGGCGCTTGTGCTCGCTTCTAAATTTCTACATGATTCCGATACCTATGACCGAGCAACAAACGCGGATTGGGCGGAGGCTGCTAACATCTCAAACCAGCACTTAAACCAATTAGAGTGGGAATTTGTTCAAAGAATGGTAAGTTCATTATTTTTACGAGTTTGATTCATATGCATGTAAGGGCTATGGATTATTTACTAGAATGAGTCAAAAGTAATGGGAACCTTTACATTGCCTTTTGATGTTTGACTCTCTCGAATCAGACAGAGTATCGACAGACAGAGCTGTTCGACGCGGTCCCTCTTCTTTTTTACCAGCGATAACTTCCATCCAAGACTTCATGCTTAAATCATTGTCAGATTTACAAATTCATTTGCTTACCTTCAAATTCTGTAGTTTTGCTCATTGTCTTCAAAGATTTTGAATCATGATATTTTGATGGTAAGCTTGGTTAATTCGGAAACCCAGAAGCTGGTATTAGGCGACTTTAGGGCTGAATTTCAATATGGGCATTGATGCATTTTTTGATTTACCCCTTTACGAAAGTCTAGGGGTTTCGGGAAAGTTGTTTTGAAATCTCGTATTTCGAGGAATTTTAGGAAATTCTCTCGGTTTGTTTTGTTTACCAATTGAATTTTTACTAAAGCCTCGAAAAGAATTTTGAGGACTACACAAAGTTATGTAGTGCAAAAAAACATGGTTCAAAATTTCGGGAATTTTTTCGGCAATAAGGAGAGAAAGTAGTCCGCTGACATGATTGCTGAAAAAACGAAGAACTCGCACTAATTACATAGTAGAACACTTGTCTATCATTTTGTATCCGATCTAATATATAAAGAATGACAAGCGCAATTCAAAAAT